TTAAAGTTTTTCTTTAGACACTGGCTACTTTTTTACAGTCCTTGTACTTGAACATTTTCAAAGAAAGGTTTTATTGTTTGTTTGTTTTTAATGTATTTATATATTTATCGTATATTTATTCGTTAAGTCAGTTAATGACCTATGAATCAGTTATCTGTAGAAGAAGAACCTACATCAAGGGATAAACCAGTATTGTGTCTTTACAGAACAACGTAGAACCAATTTTGAGGCACTTTGTTACTAGCAGCCTGTTGCAAAAACACATAATTTCTTCTCATTTCTTAGTTGAAACTATGAAAAATGCCACAGAAAGCAGAGTTTGACAGGCGTAAAATAGTTTTTTTGCACCAACAAAGTGATTCTCACAGAGCTATTAGCCAAACAATATGACATATCTCAGCCTAGTGTGCAGTGTGTCTTTAAAAAATTAAGGAAACTGGACGAGTAGGGGACAAAAGTGGCAGGCCTAAAATACTATGTGCAGCAGATAACCAGTATCTGAAAGTCATGTCCTTAAGAAATTAGAACAAATTCAGCAAAGACCTGACACAGGACCTGAGAGATGCATTTGGCAAGTGGTTGATCCATCTACTGTTCACTGAAGCCTCATCAAAAATGGTCTCGGTGGAAAGGTGGCTGCCAAAAAGCCATTCTTAAGGAATGGAAACAAGAGGAAAAGGCTGAGAGAGAAACATCTGAGGTGTGCCAAATTACTCAAGAACTGGACTGAAAATAAGTGGCAACAGGTTTGACGCAGTGATAAATCCAGATTGGAAATTTTTGGGTTCAAGTTACTGTTAATATGTACAGAGGAGGTCAGGAGAGAGATACAGCGATGAATGTTGAAAGCCATCACAGTGGATGCTCAGTCATAGTGTGGGGCTACATTTCAGTCAGTGGTGTTGGGTATCATGTCAAAATGATGGAATTATAAACTCAGAAAAATGCCATCAGATTTTGATCAACCATGCAATACCATTGGAAGGCGTTTAATTGGGAGCACCTCCATTTTTGAGGATGATAATAATCATGAACACAGCCAGTGGAGTGAATACCTGGATAAAAAAAACACACACAATGGAACACTATCATTCATGGATTAGACTCCCAAGAGCCCGGACCTTAACATTATATTTCATTTCAAGCAGTATGGGATCATTTTGACACAGTGCAGAACAAAAGACAGCCAACGGCCAAAGAAGAGTTTTGGAAAGTCCTTCGAGAAGCCTGGTGAACTATTCCTGAAGACTAGTTAAAGAACTTACTTGAAAGCTTGCCTAAGATACTTCAGGATGTGTTAAAGGATAAAGGTGGTCATACCAAATATTGGCTTTCAAACTCATTAGAAGTTCATTATACAGTATACTACTGTATTTCCATTTATATTTTCACGTTTCCCATTGTCTTAAAAACTATAAACAAATGAGGGGTGGCTCAAGAGCTTTGGCTTATTCTAACAGATAACATGCAACACCCGGTGATTGGGTGTGGGTTGCACTGTCACTTCACAGGGTATCTTAGAGAGTTACCCCGTACATGGGGAATAACGAAGTTGAGAGATAGTCTTGACATGATAAAGAACGTTTGGTTATTTTGTAATGTTGGTTCTCTGAAGGAGAGACTGTCCAGCCTCAGGCTGCTTGGAGACACATTCCGATTATACCTGTACTGGTTTCATGTCTGCAGAGCTGTTTTATACGTAAGCTGTGGGTCGTGGCTGGCCTAGCCGGAGTGTCTTAAAGAAGTATCAACTAGCCATGGCCTGGGGGCCGAGGTAATTCCCTGTACATATGGAATATGTAAGGAAGTGGCGAAATAGCCTCTCAATCAGAGAACCAAGGTTTCAAAGTAACCGAATGGTCCCAATGTTAATTAGAGGGTTTAAAAGCTTCGACAGTGGGGCTGTGAAGGCATGTTTCTTTCTGAAATGTGCGTGCAAGTTTAGTCTGTGCCGGTCAGCAAATATCTGTCATACAAAAGACTAAAGAGCTTTATAAATAAACTACATTTTAATGTAAAATCACTTGTGCCCAAGTGGCACAAATACTTGTGTTATGCTTGAGACAATGCTGTTTTGTTGGCTTTGATGCGGGCCATTAAGATGAGGCGCATTTGATGCTATTATGGTGCTCATTTCCTCTGGGCTTGCAGTCCTCTAGCAACATCATCAGTGCAGAAGTGATTAATTTTAAAAATAGATTAATAGAGCGTTTGTACACAGATAATGAATTTTTATGATGTATTCTTTCTCAATTCAAGCACACAATGCACAAACAGAAAACTAAGCATAATTTAATCTTAATTATTTCTCTTCCTTTATTCCTCTACCTGCTAGGAACACGAACATTCGCACATGTCTTCTAGGGCATTGGTTAATAGCTTTCAGGTTTACCTGTTTTATGGGGTTTCTTCTATTATGGTGCTACTATTGCTGGCCTGGCAAGTGATCTAAGATTTACTTTAGTTAAAATTTATCTAGCTCAAGTCAGTTAAACATAAAGACAACAGTTGAAGCTGGGTAAGGACATCTAGTGGCCAAGCCAGGAATTAAAGTCTCACCTTTGGCACCTTACACCTCTTCTGCACCATGCCTCAGACTTTCAGCCACTTTTACTCAAACATGCCAACAGGCTTACATCAAGACTTAAAGAGTGTGTGTTTTAGACTGTATTTAAAGTTTTCTTCCAGAGAAAAACAATGTAACTAAACTGTAACTAATAATTTACAACCACTTTTTGTAGTAATGTGTTGCTAACAAGCTGTTTTATTTATAATACCATTAAATGTCAAAGAGTTTACAGACAAATCCAATAAAAGTACAAGTAAAAGAAGCCTATGGTATTGAATGGAGAGACATAACAAATACAGTTACATAGCCTACGGTTACTGAATGGATTGATGAGTATGATAATGAGGTGACTCATAGGCTATAGCCTTGGCAATCACAGTCTTTCCACCTAATTGAACAATCAGCGCTCACTATCATTATGAAAACACCAGAAGAGGTACTATTTTAAGAGACTGCTGTTTCTTTTACTAAAACTCAAAGACTGAAGCACACATTCAGCTGTAATGTGCAGGCTGCTCTGGTGGCTCGTCGATGCTTAACACTGTACTAAAAGAGAGGATATGCCTAATATGGTCATCAGGGGCATAACTCTTTGAGCACATAAGTCCCACCCATCTCCTATTTGAACCGTTTGGGTCTAAAGGGAGGAGAACATGAGCTCAAACAACTCTGTTTACAAGGATGAAGTGAAGGGCAGCAGCCAGAGCAGATAAGTAAGGATCTGTTATAGTCCAGGATTAAACATGTGGAGCTTGAAATGAGCATGTGTTTTATATAGATAGATATAGATAGATATATGTGTGTGTGTGTGTGTGTGTGTGTGTGTGTGTGTGTGTGTGTGTGTGTGT